TTTCCCTTTTCTTTCTTCCCTCTTCCCCCCTTCCTTCTTTCCCCCTTTCTTCATTTCTTTCTTTTTTGTACTGGAATCAAACCCAGGGCCTCAAACACACCCAGCAAGTGCTCTAGCAGCCCCGTCCTCCTCTCCATCTTCAAGGTTGGAGGAAAGGTGGTTGTTGGGTCACCTGGATGCTCAGGCCTGGTGGCTTGGCTGAGGCCTGTGCCCAACCTCCATGCTCAGCAAGTGTCTGCGGTCCAGAGCCCAGAGCTACTCCTGCCTCACCTGCCACCCTGACGAGGAAACTGTAGGTGTACTCCTTTCCTTGAAGGTCCCTCAGCACCACCGCATAGCGGCCGCTGTCTGCGAGGCTGGCCACAGGAATCAGAAGCTGGGTGACGCCATCCTTGGTGGTGGTCACGCTTCTTTTGGGCAAGGGCAGGCCATCTTTCAGCCAGGTCACCTCAGGCATGGGGGCAGCCTGGGAAGGGAGAGGAGGGAGAAGTTGAGACCGGGAAATTTTGTGGAAGTGACTGCGTTGAAGCTGGGGCTGAAGGAGACGCAGTGAGAGCATGCTGTAGGAGCAAAATGTCTGAGTGCAGACCTGGAGGTGGGCAAGTGCCTGTTCTGGAGCAGGCTGGTGACGAGGTGGTGGTGAAGTATAGGGGTTGGTGGGAAAGGACCAGAAGCCCGATGGGGAGGCTGGACCGAACTATCATGCACCCTCAACACTACACCCTTACAGATAGATGTCTGGGTTTGTTCTGTGAGCAAGGACACGCTGCTGTAAGATACTGAGCAGGAGATGTAATTGGGCCTGTTTACTTGGGCCAGGTGGGGATGTGGGATGTGGTGCTGGACAGGAGTGAGGAGGGTCCCCAGATGAGCTTGGGGGTGACTTGGAAATCCTGCAGTAATGAGAGGGAGCAGGAGGGAGACGAGGTAGCCTGGCCTGGAACTGTGGTGACCCTAAGTGGGTTGGAAAAATGCCAGGCCAGCTGCTTGATGACTACACTGCCAACTGCCTGGGGAGCCCTCAACATTGGGCACAGTTCAGGTGCTCACAGTAACTTACTACATGAGAGTGTTCTGAAGACCTAAGGAACTAACAATACATGGAAAATATGGAGAACAGGGCCTAGGACACAGAAAACATTCAATGAGGGTTGGTTTTGTCATCACTATCATTGTCCTGTGGTCTAGCAGTTGAGATCATGAAATTCAGAGTAGACAGATGTGGGTTTGAATCTGGCTGGACCAGCTGTGTGTTTCCCACACAAATGATGATAATGATTTTAATAATAATAACAACAGTAAAGTAACATATATTGAGTGCTTGCCATACATCAGGCTCTGCTTATGTGCTTCCTGTGAGTCAAGTCCTTGAATTCTCAGAACAACTCTTTGAGATAAATTGCCATTATTATCCCCATTTGAGAGATGAGGAAGTTGAAACACAGAGGTTAAGATACTTGTCCAAAATGAGACAGCCAGTGAGTGAAGCCATCAGAGTTAGGGTCTGGGCAGTCTATCCTTTTAACCACAACACTACCCTTAGGCTCTCCATAGTCAGGAGGTGCATGAAGATTATCCTGAGTCAAATGCAGGTGATGCACTTGCACAAAAATACATTCTGTAGTCAAAGGGCATTATCCACATTGCAGGCCGCCAATTCGCTAAGACAGGTGAGAAAAAGTGAAAGTCGCCGTTGGGAGGCGCAGTATCGGGAGCTACCACTAGAAGGTGATGTGTACTAAGCACGGGGAGCCAAACGGAAGCCCAAGGGCCTGGCGCCCGCTGTGCCTTCCAGGAGGACACTCCTCCTTTCTTCCTTATATCTGGCCTGTCGGCCCCAAAAAAGAACAAGGAAGAAAAGAGAACCACAGGCTACTCTTGGCCACTGTGGGGTCCCTCCCCCATGAACTTCTAGGTCCACTCACTTCAAAGGAAACAGGCACACGAAGGGTGTCCCCAGCTCTGACTGTCAGCGAGTCCTTCCTGCTAGAGTCCATGAGGAACTTAGGGGAGACTGCAACACACAAGATGGCTCGTCAACCGCCCATCCTCCCCACTCCCGCCCAGCCAGAAGTCGGGCCTCAGTCCCAGGTCACCAACAGGGCAGAGGGAAGGGGAGCTGGGCCAGTATGACTGCTACTGAGATCACACGGGTTGGGTGAGGAGCTGGGGGTCATGCTGGCAGGAGACGGACAGGAGCAGAGGCTGGGCTTGGGCTAGAACAAGGAGGAAGGTGACCAACAGCTCAGCTCTTCCGTTCTGCAGATGAGATCATTACCAGACAGAGACAGGAAGTGCCTGACTTGCCTGGGGACACATGCTGTTAGGTTAGGGGCAGAGCCTCCAGGGGGATATTCTGAGATTCTCGACTCTGGGCACTGTGTATTTTCCCACTGTATTTATCTCTTTGTTGTCACAGTGATAGCTAGATCATTTGGAATGATAGTGTCAGCTTGGGTCAAGGACAGTTCAGTGGCTTCTAGCAATTAAGGCCCAAAGGGAAAGGCGTCCACCTTGTGATGATGAGAGCGGCGGCATGTTCTACCTGGGACAAGTACTGACCAAGCAGAGCAGCACTAGTGCCTTGAAGTCGCCTGTTTTAAATCCTGGCTCTGCCTCATACCTGCAGTGGGACTGTGGGCAAAGTACCTTAGACCTCAGTTTCCTTCTCTGTAAACTGGGAACCACAAACATTAACTTGTAGGACTGTAATGAGAACACATGTAATGTGGACTGTAATGAGAACACATTTCTTCAAAGGGCCTTCTTAGTCCAGCACCCAGCACGAGGGTGATGCTTACTTTGTTAACCTGGGAAAGGGGGTCCCGACACAGCAAGTGCATGGTGGTCAGTCAGGGGCCCTTTCAGAAAGCCACAGCACTTGCAGTGGGGAGGAGAGGGCACACTCACCAGTGAGAGGCGTGGCATGCACTAATGTGTCCAGGGCAGTGGGCTGGCTGCAGCCCCCATCGTTGACTGCTGTTACCCGCACAAAATAGCCCTCTTGAGGCCGTAGCCCCTTTGCTGTGAAGGTGGTGCCTGACACCGTGCCTCCATGGCATGGGCTCCACTGGAGACTGTCTGAGCCACACAGCTCCACCAGGTACCCTTGGGCGTCGTCTCCGTCCTGAGGGTCCGGCCCCACCCAGCTCAGGGAGATGCTGGTGTTTGATGTGTCTGTGACCTGGAGATCCCGCACGGGCCCTGGAGGTCCTGGCCAAGCACCAGAAGAATGTTAGCAATGGCACTGGCCAAAGGGAGGCCATTCGTCCGTCTTCCCGCAGGAGGCAGACTTCCTCTCACTTAGCAGTTCCTGAAGCACCTACTTGGACTCAAACTCTTCTAGCCAGTACTTCACCTCAGCTATGCACACACTGATCCCAGGCCACCTCCTCCAGGAAGCCTCCGCCACCTCATTCCACTCTTTCACCAACTTGCTCACCCGCTTCCCCTAAGTATCCTTTGTAATTCTTGAAAACTGGTATTTTAGGTGATGACCTCTCAGACTCCTTTGTCCTTGAAGACTAGAATTCTGTTTTTTTGTTCTGAACTGTAAACTCTCAGTGGGACTGCCTCTGGGGCACTCAGTGAAGAGTTCTAGTCCTTCATCTGTACAGTCCGGACAGTAGCATCCTACATACCCATAGGGGTTTTGCAACAAGCAAAAGACACAGTGTGATGAGTGGGAAAGGGCTTTGGAAATTGCACAGCAGCCTGGAGCTCCAGTTCTGAAGCCCAGCTGCAGTTTGGACTCATCTGGGGAACTTAAAAATCCTGGTACCCAAACACCAGCTGCAGAGTTTTTGATTCAGTGAATCTGGATGTAGCCAAGGTATCGGCATTGGTATAGGAGCTCCTCTAAATATGCAATGATGTTTGAAAACTGCAGGTCTAGAGCAGCACTCCTCAACTTTAAATCTGTTTTGTCTGGCTTGGTCTTTTGAGACAAGGTCTTGATATGTAACCCGAGCTAGCCTCAAACTCTCAATCCTTCTGGCTCAGCCTCTTGGGTGCTGGAATTGCAGGCATGCACCACCATGCCCAGCCCTCTATGCTGTCTGTTGTCCTGAGAATGTTTACTTGGCACCTCTCTGATGTTCTGAGACCACTGATAGGGAAATGCTGCTCTAAACTGTCAGTTTCTCAAGAGCAGAGAACAGGCTTGGTGTACTGAGTTCCTTGCATGATGTGGGCCAGCTAGTGGGTGATGAACAACATTCACTGGATTGAGAATCTATCCTACAAGGGTGATACCCCCCACTGGAGTGAGTGAATAGTTATAAGACTGGGACAAGTGCCACTTGGGGCTGACCTGCTCAGAGGCCCAGAGTGACATAATCTTAGGGGAAAGTCTTCTAATCCCCACCAGCTGGCCTCTGGACCTGTTAAATTTTGATTTGGAGCCTCTAAGATATGTCTTACCCAGCAGCTGCTCCACCTTTATCCTCCAGCTCTCCTAAGCATTTCCTTCAGGACTGCCCCTGACCTGTGACCTTCTGTCCTATCCAACCTGGTTTCAGAGTTATCCCATCCTCACCACCCACCCCATCACCATCCTCGGTTTGTGCCCTACTTACTCATGGGGTCCCGGGCAAAGACAGCATCCGATGGGGGCCCAGGCTCTCCAGGGCCTGAGGGAGCAACAGCCGTGACCCGGAACTGATATTGACAGCCCTGCCGCACATCTGCCACAGTGTATCTCCTCTCTGTGAAGATCCCATCTCTTATCAATCCCACCCTGAGTAGGGCAGGTAATGGAGAGGTAACTTGGTGCCTCTGAGTTCAGGGGAAATCCAAGCTCAGGGGCCTAGCACATCCTTCCTTCCTGTACCAGATTATTCTTTTTTAAAAAATGAATGTAGGGTGTTTAGCAGCATCCCTGGCCTTTTCTCACTTGATCCTGAGAGCATCTATTCCCCTTTCACTTGTGACAAGCAAAATTGGCTCAAAACACTGCCAAATGTCCTATCACGGTTTAAATATAAAGTGTCCCCCAAAGACTCACATATTGAGGGCTTGTACTGAGGGATCAATCCATTGCTGAGTTCATAGTTGAGTGGGACTCAGAGGATGTAGGTCACAACATTGTACTTTTGAAAGGTGCATCCTGTACTTAGCCCCTTCTCTCTGGATCTCTTATACCCTCTCTGTTTCCTGACTCCATAAAGTGAGCAGCTTTCTCCCACCATGCCCTTCTACCATGTTGTTTCTGCCTTGGAACCAGCTGACCATGGACTGAACCTTTGAAGCTATGAGCCAAAATAAAGCTTTCTTCCTTTAAAGTTGCATATGTCAGGTATTTTGTCCCAGCAGCAGGCAACTGACAAACACACCCTCTATGGGAACAAAACCACCCCAGATGAGATCCACTGTGACAATCTGGCCTGATAATACCAAGGGATCTTGGCACCAGGAAGGAGTTTAAGGCACTAAGGCAACTTGGAGCCAGGACCACAGGGAACACCCACAGGATAGGTCTGCTTACCAGGCATGAGCTGTTTATTCACAGCTGTCCAGGTGTTGCTCCCCTTCTTGCACTTCTCAATCAGGTAACTCAGAACCTGGGCACTGCCATGGCCCCGAGGTGCTGTCCATGTTATAGTGATGCCCTGGCTAGAAGCTGACAAAATGGTTGGGGCAGAGGGGGGCCCTGGGAGAGCTGGCAATAGAGAAGGTGCTGGTCAGTCAGAGGCTGAGAAAAGGTACCAACCCATGGGGAGGTTCTGGGTAGAAGGCATAGGGTCAGGGTGACACACTGCCCTTTGCTAGGGTTTATCAGGGTTGAGGCAGCTGGTCTGGGGCACCGTTCCAGCTCTGTAGGGGTAGGAATGATGGGACAGAGAAATAATTTTGACCACCTATTCTAGAGCCAGTCCTGAAGTCCCTCAGGCTCAAGTGCCCTGATAGAAGGCTCTAGGCTAGGGATGCCTGACAGACAAAGTTGCTGACCTTCAGCAGTGTCCTGAGAGTGGATGTTTTGTGACCATTGCCAAGACTCCATAAATCTCAGATCCTGACTGGCTACCGCATCCCTAATAAATCTGAAGTAGGAGTCTTCAAGATCCCCAGGCACAAGCTGATGACCCTCAGCCCCCAGGGCAGCCCTGCCTGTCTTCTGGGCACAGTGGGGGGCTGAGAGTGTCCCCCCAACCTCAACCCGAGCCCCAGCCTTTTCTCTCACCCTCAGGAGCCACCAGCACCTCCTCAGACTCCAGGGCCTCCCCGGGCCCCTCTGAGGTCACGGCCCTCACACGGTAGGTGTACTTTCTGCCCTGCTCCACACCGGCGTCCATGAAGGTAGTGCTCTCTGGGGGTGACTTGCCGACATTCAGCCAAGTGCTTCTGCCAGCCTGTCGCCTTTCCACCATGTAGTGCTCCACGGTCCGGCCCCCATCTTCCCTGGGGGGTCTCCAGGAGAGGTGGACACCAGCCTTGTGGCAATCCTGCACCTTCAGGGGGCCCTGTGGAGCCTGAGGCTTGTCTGGGGACCCAACAAGAGGATCAGGAGGAGAAGCAGGTCAGAGAAGCTAGAGGAGAATGCTGCTGATCCCCACCCCTGCCCATTAGCAGATAAGACTGCAGTGAGGTGTGCCTCCCAAGTTACCCAGAGATACAGACAGCTCCTGGCACAGCCAGCTGCGCTTGTTCTCCATCCTTCTACACACCCAACGATGGACCATGGAACACCCAAGTCTGTGCCCAGTCGCACTGTACAGTGACTCGAACAGGCATCTGCCTAGGCCTCTGGACAAAGGCACCACTGGAGCTGAGGGCTACTGTTTCACCTGACACCTTCCCTAGGGCCAGTGTCTTAGGGCTCACAGAAGCTGGAGTCCAGCCCTTGTTTATCTTAACTCCCTCTCCCTATCCGTCTGGGGAGGGGAGAGAAGATGAGTGAGTGTGGCATGCAAACAGCATGCAAATGAAGGTCAAGCTAGCACAGGCCACACTCAGATGTCAGACCTAGCCCTGCTGGGAGGAAGGACCTGGAACCATGCGGACTCTTGGGCTTGGTTGGGGAGAAGCTGGGGCTGGCACCTATGACTTGCAGTATGACGTCAGCCTGCGCAGAGCCTCCCTCACTCCTCAGTGTCACGCTGTACTGGCCACTGTCCTTCCTGGTGGTGCTAGGGAGGCACAGCCGTGTGTAGCCATCTCCCAGGGCCACCTGGGCACCCCTGCGGCTGCTGCCCACCACCTCAGCCCCATCCTTCCTCCAGAAAGCCTGAACAGGGAGGCGACTCTGGAAAGGGATCTTCATTGTTACTGGCTGCCCAGCCTTGACCACCAATGGTTCCTTCAGTTTCTCTGTCACATCTGGAGATATGGTTGGGGGATCTAGGAAAAAAGAAAACAGGGCAACAGGGTTAAAGAAGACCAAGCAAAGAAGACCTGGGGAGTACAGAAAGAGCCAGAAGAAGGAAGGTTGAGCTCAGAGTAAGGAACTCCCTACCCCACCTCCTGAGGACTAACAAGGAAAATGGCTTTATTGCTAGAGGGACCAAGGTTAGACCTCATCAAGGACTTTCTGATAAGGAACGAGGTAAGATCGCTACACATCAGGGGCTTTGGAACGGAGTATATCAGCTAGTGCAGAGATTGTCGGATAATGCAGGGCAGGACCTCCTCACCGTGGACGGCCAGGGTAGCCTCACTTTGCTGGTTGCCTGCTACAAATGTGTACTTTCCAGCCTGAGCCCTCTGCACGTGGGCAATCTGGAGTCTGTGCACAAGCCCGTCTTGCTCTAAGATGATGCCATCCTGGGCAGTGAGCTGGAGAAAAAGACCACAGTGGAGATGGTCATTCCCACCCCTACCCTGCTCCTCTAGCAGCTAACTAAGTCCTCTGCTGGTGCAGTTGCTGGAATCCTCACAGTTGCATGCAAGAGATGCTGGTGGTGTTGACACTGTGTGTGCCTAGTACCTCATTTAACTACCACAACAACCTTATGTGGTAGGTACTACTTTAGTTCCATCTTATAGATGAGGACCTTATGCAAGGCTAGCTAAGTGATGGTGGTAGAACTGGATCTGGACCCAGATCACGCTGATTACATGGACAGTGCTCTGAACTACTATGTTGTGTATCCTCCTGACATAACTGCTATAATAGTGCCAACCAGCCTGCCTGATTTGTACAAGGCCTTGAAAAATTGGTGGAATTCAGCAGAGGTGGGTATGGTACAGGCATTTTAGATGGTAGAAGAATAAGAGATGGGTCAAAGGAGGAGGTAATAGGATAAGCATTCATTTAAAAATCTTTTTTTTCAAACACGTTAAACTGCTGGCTATTTAAACTTCCCTTCAAATGCATACCTTAATAAAATGAAGAGTAAAGTTTTTCTTGTGAAGCCTCTACCATCTACTTCTTTTTGCTTTACTGCTATTACCACACCCCCACCCCACATTGGTTGGTACAGGGAAGATGTGAGGGGGAAGTACCTTGACTCCATCCTTAAACCAGGCACCGGGTCCCAGGTCCCTGGTGAGGGTGCAGGATAGTGTGGCGGCCTCACCCTGTTGCACCTCCATGTCAGCCAGTCCTTGAGAGAAGTGGCCTGTGGATCCTGGATAGACACAGAAAGTCCTCAAGGGCCAGCCTCCCAGGCCATGGCCTGCACTGAACCCTGGAGGCCACAATGGTCCTGCCAACTGGGCTCAACCAATGCCAGCAAAGCCAAGCTTCCCATTTTTCTAAGCAGGACCACGACTGATGCAGGAGACCTGGGGGTGTAAGGTGAATGAAGAAGCCCCCAAGTCACACAGATGGGAGGTCTGTGTCACCCACACAGAGTTAAGGCAACAATTCTGGTACTTTGGACATAGAGTTTCAAGACCAGGTAATTGGGAGACCTCTGAGCCTCATGCAGTCTGGATCCTGCATGCAAAGGAGGAAGAGGCTGCTTCCTGAACCTGCAAGAGGTTGAAAATGGGCAACTGGTAGGGACAAACTCCCAGGGCTGGAGGTGGAATTGGGACTGACCCAAGCACCCCAGCAGCCAGGGAGCTCCCCTTGGCTCCACCCCATGGAAGCAGCCCAGCTGGGAAGACCTACCTTGGGCTTCCGTGGAGAAACTGCCAGTGCTGGCCTTGTATCTGGATCTGGGGCTCTGGGTGGCATCCCGCCCCTCATCACAGACATCCGACTTGCCCTCTTTGGCACCTCTCCTGCTGTCAGGATGCCTGGGGGATCCCCAGCTCCCGTCTTCACTCCAAGTCTCCCCCAGGTACCCTTCATCTTCACTGCCAAACTGCGGTCTCACGCCTCTGGCCTCCTCTGCGCTCCTCTTTGCTGGTCCGACCTCAGCCCCTGACACTGCCTGACACCTGCTCCTGCGGGGACCAGACCTTTGGCCTGACCTAGCAAACTCTTCTGCCTCCTGCTTCTCATACTCCTTTAGGCCCTCGGGACCTTGGGCCATGCCATTCTTGCCTTTTAGGGACCCCTGCTCCCCGAATGGCCCCTTTTCCCCTGGCTGATAGCCAAGGCCCTGGATCCCTCCCAATCCACCTTTAGAGACTCTTCTACCAGAGGAAACATCTAAGCCATTCCAGGTTCCCTGGGGTCCTAATTCCCCAGGTTTAGGGGTGAGGCCATCCTTCAACTCAGTGGAATTCCCCTTACCCAGGACACCTAAGTCCTCTGTGCCGCTAGACCTCCGCCTCCTGGAACCTGAACCTCTACACTCCCGGGACCATGGACCTGGATATTTATCAGCAGCCTCTTGGCCTGGCACAAGTCCTGTGCCTCTAGAACCCCCTAGCCCCTCATGCGTTCTACTGGTACTGGCATCTTTCTCTTGGAGAGAACTGGAAGCCCTGGAGCTTGAGGTTTGGTTCCCAGCACCCATGCTGCCTTGGCCACACCCCTGGTCTTCCCAGCCTGGGGCCCACACATGGCTCCCTGCTTGCTCATCGGCTGGCCCTAAAGCTGACTTGCCTCTTCCCTGAGGCACAGAACTGCTGTCCACACTCTGTCCTGTCCCTGATGAGCTCTCAGAACCTGCCCCCAACCCTCTGCCTCCCGACACTGAGTCTGCACCTCCCTGAGGAGAAACTGCCCCCTGGTCTGCAAATCTAGCCTTGTATACTGTCCCTGAGCCTGCTTTCCAAAAGTCCTGTTTGTGTCCAGATTCCAGAGCAGCAGTACCTGCCCAGGTCTCCTCCTTCACTGCCCCCCTATCATCAAGAAACCTGGAAGCTCCCATCCTCCCTGCTTCGTCAGCAGATCCACCCTCCCCACTGGGACCTCCTCTCCACTGGGAACTCCTCCCAGGATCATCTTTAGAGACTCTTCTACCAGGGGAAACATCTAAGCCATTCCAGGTTCCCTGGGGTCCTAATTCCCCAGGTTTAGGGGTGAGGCCATCCTTCAACTCAGTGGAATTCCCCTTACCCAGGACACCTGAGTCCTCTGTGCCGCTAGACCTCTGCCTGACACCCGATTTTCCCATGGAACCAAGAGTCCCCAAGGAATCAGAGATTCCTGAGGTTTCATAGCCCCCAACACTGTTTTTGGAACTCAATCCATCTGAAAGCATCTGTGGCCCTTCCTGTGTCCCCAACACCCCTGGGCACTTGGGGCTGTCCATGTGTGCTGTGCCAACCTTATGAGGCATTCCAGCCATCCCAGAGCCCACTCCAGGACCTGTCCTATTGGTGAGTCCCTTTCCTCTGCTTCTCTCTGGACCATCCTTGGAGCTTGTACCACTTTCAGGTCCTGACCCACGTTCCTTGGCTTCATGTCCCATTCTGGCCAGTGATCCTGATACTCCAAACCTCCCAGAACCACCTCCGTAGCACATCTCACCCTCTGGCTCCATTTCCCCAGATCCTCCAGAGCTTCCTCTATAACCGACTTCATTTCCCACGCCTGTTTCCCCAGGTTCCCCAAAACCATCCTTAAAAGCTGTCTCACTTCCTAATGGAATCTTCCCAGAACCCCCTAAAACATTTCTATAACCTGCCTCTCCTCCCGACGCCATTTCTCCAGAGCCCCCAGTACCATTCCTATAACCTGTATCATCTGCAGGTCCCATTCCTCTGAGGTGTCCTGAGCCGTCTCTACAGCTTGCCCCACCCCTTGACCCTGTTTTCCCAGGCCCAAGCCCTTGTGACCCTTCTCTATAAGCTCTTCTCTCCCCAGTTCCCTGAGGCTCTGGAATTTCAGATCCACTCCCATAACCCAGCATACTGCCAGACCCCTCAGCCCACTGGCTCTCAGAAGCAGCCCCAGCATGAGGAGCTGATGCTTCCAGGTGCCGGCTATTGTCCCGATACCCAGTTCTAGCTCCAGAGGCCCTGGCACCAAGGAACCTTGTCCCATCTCCATCACCATCTTTGCCTCCTGCTCTCAGAGACCCTGGCTCTGTGGCTGTTGAACCCCCTATGCTATCTTCATAGCCACCTTCTCCAAATGTCCCCAGAGCTCCTGTGGCTCTGAAGCCCCCAGAATCTGCACTCTGACCCCAAGGCTTTATTCTTGCAGAATCCCCTTCTGCTTCCACATATCCCTCCCCAACAGCATCTGCTGTTCCAAAGGCCTTGAGACTACCTCCATCCACAGACCCCACTGTCCCAGGACCCCATAAACCACCATCAAAATGGTGCCCTCCTTCAGGGCCTGTTTGCTCCTGGCCTCTGGATGGATCCCAACTGCAGGCTTCACCTATGGACACCCCACTGGAGCCCCTTGAACCATTCCTGAGACTGGCAGCTCTCCCAGGCCCCCTTCCTGCAGGACCATGGTGATCTTGGTTTTCAGGCCACATTCCTCCAGGCATCTTTGATCCATGCCTGTAAGCATCTCCTTCCTCAGACTCTGTTCCAACAGGTAACCCAGAGGCAACTCTATACCCAGCATCATGACCAGATCCCATTTCTCGTGGAACCCCTGTGCCATCACTGTAAGCAACTCCATTTCTAGGGCCTATTCCCCTAGAATACTCTGAGCTGTCCCCATACCTAGATTCCACTCGACCTGGACCTTCTAAACCATCTTTGTAGCCCATCTCTCCTCTGGGTCCTTCTCTAATGCTTCCTGACCCATTCCAGAAATCTGGTCTGGGCCCTACTGCCTCTGGCTCCCTTAATCCTTTTGTGTCTCCTAGTGTCCCTCCAGATCCTTGAGTACCCTCACCTGGAGCCCTAATCAACCTGGGACTTCTGGCATCTCCCTCCTGATCAGACTGCATCAACTCAGCTGCTTGGGCATCACCCCCTTCCCCTCCACTGGGCCCCAGAATTCCAGGCTCAAGGTGGGTCCTGGTCTTTCTGAGATGCGACCATGTATCATCCTGAGGACCTGGGCTCTCAGACTCCATCCTGCCAGGCTCGCCTGCTCCCTTCTGCCCTGATGTCCAGCTCTGGGGAAACTGAAGGCTTCTGGATACATCCTCTCTCCTACTTAAGGCCCCAGCTGTGAACTGGCCATTCTTTCCCTGGAGTTCTTGTACATCACCTTTCCAGTCGCTGGGATCTCCTGGGCCCCCAGGGCCAGTTTTATAGCCTCTTCCCCTAACTATAGTCTTTCCAGACCCTAGGTCATCTACCCCCTGCAGTGAGTCCTCAGCTTTGATTTCAGGACTCCTGCCCCTTGGAATGAACTTCCCACTTCTGGATAGTGAGGGTTCTTGGAGGTACTTGTCTCTAAGTGTCTGTCCTGAATACTCTCCTGTCCCCCAGTACCCTGGGGCTTCCCCATCACCAGCATCTCCACCTCCCTGAGAGCCCCAGGACTCAGGGCCCATGCCTGCCTTGGAGCTGGAACCTCCTCCTCTGGGAAACTCCAGGGTACCAGGACCTACTACCCCACTGCTGTCTCCAGCTTCCTCTAAGCCAGGGCCTCTAGCACACACTTCCCCTGCTGCTCCCCTCCCCATTTCCCTGCTCAGGCCATCTCTTCCCTCCATCTCAGCCAGGGGATCCCCTTGTAGAATGCTTTCCATCCCCTCTTCTTCTGACCAACATCTCTCAGGATCAAACTGGGATTCCCACAGAGCCCTCTTCCCTGTCCCAGGTCGCAGCTGAGCATCCCAGAGTTGCTCCTGGCCATGTCTATCCAGTCGGCTGCCGTTGTCCTCTCTGGGATCCCTTCCTTCCCTGCCGTTCCTCAGTCCTCCACCTTGAGGGTGACTGTACCCAGCCTCCCAGCGTCCTTCTGTCTCCCAGTTTCTGTCCCCTTCTCTGTCACTGCCTTGATGTTCTCTTTCCATGAATCCCAAGCCTTCTCCCTGCAGATGAGACCTCCCTAGGAGGCTCCCATTCCAGTCTCCTTCTGGGTGGGGCTGATTTCGTCCTGATAGAATGGCTCTGTCTCCCTCTGCTTCTAGAAAATCCTTTTTCTCCTTCCCAGGGGCCCAGGCTGAGTGGGCTTCCTCTTCACCCCCCATCAAGGAGGAGCCATGCCTGCCAGGGCCACCGAGGTCTGGGCCCACAGTGAGCTGAAGCCCAGAAGCCAGCCCAGTCCCCTTGATGGAGCCCCCCATGGGGCCCTTCTCTCTGGCTTTCCCTCCCTTGCCACTGACGCCCTTGGAGTCTTCTGCATCTGAGGCCTTAGCTCCTTGTGTCTGCAGCTGGCGGTCAGCACTTGTGGTCTGAAGGCCTTTCTCCTTCCCAGCTTCGATGAGGTGTTATTTACGTGGAGGTCAATGCCCCCATAGACAGACAAGAAAAAAGATCAAAACCCCATTAAATCAGGCCAAGGCACCTACCTGACCGGACTGCTTTACCTGACCCACAGTTTTCCCAGTAGAGAAGCAAGCTGACCCCAGGAAGGAAGCCAGGATGTTCCAATGGACTGATGGATAAATCCCATCACCACTTCCCCCAATCCCACTCTACCTGCTACATGGTTCATGAGTTTTGCTGGGTATTTTTTGGTTTGTTTTTTGCAATACTAGGAATTGAACCCGGAGGATGTTCTATCACTGAGCTCCATCCTTAGCCCTTTCTTCAATTTTGAAACAAGGTCTCACTAAGTTGTCCAGGCTGGCCTCCAATTTAAGATCCCTCTCTCTCAGCCTTCAGGGCAGCTGGGATTACAGGTGTGTGCCACAATACCTAGCTGATTCTTGAGTATCTTGACATATAACTACATAAGCCAAGTCATTTGCTTACCAAACTGCCATATGCAGTTGCATAGTTTTTAAAAGATCTACTTGCCCTACTGCCAGCCTTACACTTATAGTTTCCTGGGATCATATTAAACTCAGATCCAAATCCCCAGGAGGTTCAGAAGTGCTCTTTGGTCTCAAGCTCTTCCAGAACCCTAGGGCCATTTGGAACTGTGTCCCCAGAGTAGCTCCAAGAGGCCCAGTGGACCAGATGTATCTGGGAAGGTCTAGATGGCCATGACAGACTGCACTGAACTGGATCAAGTCTGGAGCTCAGGCGCCCTCCCGGATCTCTCTGAGTAAGGATGTATTCAAAAGCAAAGGACTGATCACAGGGAAACCCCACTGTGTCAGCCCTGAGGGCTTACATGGGGAGCTGGGGTCAGACAGGGGTGTGACCGCTTACCTTCAACCACCAGCCAAGCACTGGAGGCATGGAGCCCTGTGCTCAGAGAATAGAGGCCCCTGTCTGAGAGGCGGGCCCCCCTCACCAGCAGCCGATGAGTGAGCCCATCAGGTGACACAATTGCTTCATATTTGTCACTGAGCCGGAGTGGCTGGTGCTGGAAAAACCACGTAGCTTTGGGGCAGGGTTTGGAGAGAGTACATTCAAATATTGCATCTCCCTGCTCCTCACAGTGGGTTTCGGCCAGGGGGACTACAACTCTGGGGGGAACAGCTGCAAGGAAGCAGAAATGAGGTTGTCAGTTTGGCACCATGACAGTGCAGACTCATGCAGTGGGATTGGGAGTTCAGAAATCTTGGATTCAGACCAGCTTGGCCACAGACTGCCCGAGCTACCTTGGGTGGGTCACTCTCTCATATGGGGTATTAGCCACAGAGTGAAGAGTTATAGTGAGGTTGTGGTCACCATGGCCATTTTCAGCTCTAGAATTCCATAACTCTAAACTCAAGAGTTCGATCTAGGAACAAGGAGGGTACACGAAGGAAACCAGTGTATACCAAGGGCCAGTGCAGAACTCTCACCCAGGTTTGGCTAATTCCTTTGCCCACATTGATTTCGGTATTTTCATAGGCCACTGCCTTGTCTTTTGTCAACCTTGATCCAGCCGTGTTCCTTATGATCTATCTGCCCCAAACTTTCTCTCTCCAGGCATTTCTAAGAGCTCCCTCAAACTGCTGTGGATGATGTGGACACAGGCCATCATGGGTATTGGGCAGAGTTTATGAGGGAGAAAAGGCAGCTCTCAGGTGGGAAGGAGGCATGGGAAGCTAGGTAGCGTGAGGCCTGTACAAGTGTGCCCAACCTGGGCAGAAATTCTGGTTAGGGACTGTGAGCCATGAGGCCATGTATCAGAAGGGAGAAAAGTTACAGCAACAGGCTGTGAAATTAGTTTGGATCTAATCTGAAAACAACAAGTTGTGGCACAAGATATGTGGGCAGGGACATGACAGTTATGTTCATCATGACTGACCCAATAGGGCCCAGCTTGGGCCCACAGAAGACAGAGCCTGAGTGTGTGTCCTTCACCCTGGCTGCCTTTGCAATGGAGCCATGTCCCATTTATCTTCTCAGTATAGCAGCAGTGGGGACCCCACACTGAACAGATCTCCCTCTTTAAACTTCAGCAGTGATTGTCACTCACCATCAGCCTCCAGCTCTGTGGAGAAGACCACAACGTCCTCTACCTTGACCTGGTAAAGGCCAGCGTCCTCTGGGTGCAGGTCCTGGACCTGGAAGTAATACCGTTTCCCTAGCCGCCGAAGACAGTGCTTGGTCTGGTTATTGAAGCCATAAGGGATCATCTCACCATCCTGAGGTCAGGAGAGGAAAAGGGGTGCTTCAGGGATTCCATGGGTCCCCAGAGCCTTTTGCCCCATTCCTACTCTGGCTGCAGCCAGCACTTTTCTCTCTTTGGCCCAGTCCTGGAGCCATAAAGGGAATAGAGGGGCAAGTCAGAGAGCAGGGCCTGGTGGAGGTGTGTGGGAATATATGTTCTAGGCATGTCTGTGCCTCTTACCATAGAGTGGAATATCTCATGGTACACCAAGTGCTATGCCAAGAGGCACTTGGTGTTGTTGATCCAGCTTAGGCTAGAAGGAGAGTTACTGCCAAAACAGCCCTACCATATTAGCAGGGGAGAAAGGAGGGACACTGATATCCCTCAAGGTTCTAGCTCCTTCATTCACTAAGAGGAACCTTCAGAGAATATATTTAAGGCCCTACAAAACCCAGTAATTTATACATGTACCACTTCTAGTAAGCCCTACACAGATTCACTATTTGCTGAATACTAACAACAGCTAATGCTTTACAAATGCCCACTGTGTGTTGGGCATAGCTAAATAAAACAGACAAAGAACCCGGCCCTCAGAGAGCTAAAATCCTATGACAAATTATAAACATTATAAACAAGTAAATAATTTACATTTTCAAACATAGTACTATGAAAAACAAAGATGAAAAAGAGAGGATAAGGGGTCAGGGGTGCCAGGGTAGAGTGAGGGGAACACAGCAGAATCACATGGGGCCAGCCAGGGAGGCGTCACTGTGGGTGAGGGAATTGTCCTGTGGATGCTGGGGAGAAGTGTGCCAGGCACAGGGGGCAGCTGGAGAAGAAACGGGTGAGGCCAGAGCAGAAGGAATAGAGCAGCAAGGGAAAGGGCAGGAGGAGTGAGAGGAGAGAGGAGGGGAGAGGCAACTCCTGTCTGATCTCATTTGCATTTCAGTACACCAGGAGACAGCTCCTGTGTTACCTGCACTTCACAAATGAGGAGACTGAGGCACCAGGAAGATAAGCATTTTTGTCCTAAGTCACATAGCTTGTCGACTGATGGGGCCAGGATGAGTTTATCTACGGAAGTGTTATGCTTTGTTGTCCCACAGCCACACATACTTGCCCCCATCCAGTTTACAGGGAAATATTCCTTCAGCCCGGGTAGGAATGTGTCAAGTTTGCAGTAGGAGCTCAGACAGAAAAGGATGCACTTTCTCATAACTTGCTTTTTAGACCCCTGTTCCAGCAGTAGGCACAGTTTATGGTGTTAACAGGCCCAGCTGGAGTGCCTGGGCGAGACATAAGAAGCTCCTGTGGAATGTCCATACCAGAGTTTGACTTCATTCCAAGCAGGTGTTCCATGGGCACTCTGGTGTTCCCATGGGGGACCCATGGGATCCACTGTTTTCCCTCCTAGGACCTGCAGCCTCCCTCTAGCAACCCTGCCCCACAGGCCTTTCCAGCCTCACCTTATACAAGTAAATCTTGCTCTCGAGGTCCTTGAGATCGAGCTCCAGATCAAACGTGGCGATCCCCTCCTTGGAGACCCTGATGTGTCTCAAGTTGGAGACGGCGTTGACATACTAAAGGGCAGACAAACCCAACAGGGTAGCTCTCAGAGCTCTCTCTTTGGGGCATTCCAAACCTTTACAGATCCTGGTCCCATCGCTGGCCACAATGTCCCAGCTGAGCAAGCCTTTGCCCATCTCATGAGTAGTGGAACTTAAGCCCCCATTAAAGGAAAGTCTCTAAATGACAGATAAGGCCTGAAAGGCAGACAAGAAAGGACCCCAGGTGCCCAGGTGCTCTGAGAACATGCTAGGGCTTTCCTCTGCATCTGTTCTTCCAGCTAATACACCTGAGTTGGACCGCTGGTGTATGCAAAGCTCTGTGCTGATTCCTGTGTTAAAACAGACAAGAAAGCTCAGAGAGTTGCGGTCCTAGGTAGGAGGTTAGAGAAGTCATTTTCAGAGGGGTAAGATACTGCCTTCAGGATAATGAAAACTAGCTGTTTTCTATTTCCAGAAGAAAAATTAGACTCACAGTTGTGTTAGATACAGGAAAGAACTTCCTATGCAGTCTAGAGGACACTGGAATCAAAATACTGATAACAACCATGAAATTCTCTTTCCTGGAAACTTTACAAATAAAGTGTGTACACTGTCTGGTGATGATGATGACGGCTGACATCAGGCCCTTACCGTGTATCAGGCACTAGGCTAACTGCTTTAAGTACATTCTTATATTTGTGCTCTAATAACTGTAGGAATTAGGTGTGACTATAATCCCCATTTTACAGATAAGGGAGACAGGACACAGACTCACAGTCTTTTCCAAAGCCTTAGAGTTTAGTAAATATCATAACCAGGTTTCAAAACCTGGATGCTAACTTGGAAGCCTGTGCCTTTGATAGGACATCTCACTGGGGGCTAAGACCCCAAACCCTGTTGGGTTTCCCCAGAGCCCAACTCTAAGTGCCCCTCCTGGTCCCTGTGTGCCAGGGGTGTGCATGGGGACAGGGTGAGGGTACCTTTGCTATCTCATCCTCCTGCTCCTTCTTCATCTCCTGCAGCTTACGCAGCATCCCCCGGAAGTCCACAATACCGTACTTTAAGCAGATCTTCTCGTAGTCCTTCCGGTCGGCATTCATCAGCAGCTGCCACACCTGCTCAAGCTCCACCTTCTTTTCAGGAGCTGGAGGTGGGGCCCTGGGGAGCACAGCTGGGAGGTCAGAGGCCAGAGGAGCTCCAGGTGTTGGCCTCCTGGCCCCGACATTCCAAGTGGTCCCCCGAGAAGCTGCTCTATGGACACTTCAGGAAGCAGACATAGGGACTGGAATCTCTGGGACGGACCACTGTCCAGTCTGGAAGGACCGGGAGATGGAAGGATGCCATAGCTCCAGCTTCCAACAGAAACTTGGCTCCTAATAACTTCAGTTGTTGATTTTTGAGCAAGATGTTTTTGAATAGGGATATGAGTAGGGTTAAATTGTTCTGATGCTTTAAATTTTTCTTTTTGGAAAGCACTGTTTAGTGAGCCACCTCCTTTTGCAAATAAGATCAGGCCCCACACAGGAGAGATGACTAACTCAAGGACAGAGTTTTGAAGTGACTAAGCTGGATCCAAAATCTCAGCTCAGTGCTTATCCCGTCCTCCCATGGGTAAGCCTAACTCCCTACCTGTGTTGGAGCAGGAGACAGAGCCTGAGTGGAGTTTATTTATGGAAGGAGCAAGGGGTCTGAACTCCCCTATGGACAGGCCCAGACTTACCTCTTTTTCAGCATCTTCCTGAAGTCCATTATTTCCTTCTTGAGGTCTAGAGAAGGAGAAGGAATGAGACCCCTTTTGCAGGTGGGATGCTTGACCAGGTGGGAACACGGGGTAAGGAGCAGCTTAACCCCCAAAGACCCCAAGAAGATTTTGGATAAGTCCACTTACCTTCCTGGGGTTCCTTCTGTCTCTTCCGGTTCTTCCGAAAGCCAACTGAACCATCCAGGAGTCAAGGAGGGAATTGATGCAGACAGCCAGGGAGAGAGGCATGACATGTTAGTGATCTACCTGAGAAACAGACTGAGTCCCAGAGCTCTGATCTGCCCTATCCTCTGAGGCCTCCCAGTAGGAGTGATGGAACAGGACAAAGGTGTATCCATCAGGAGCTTTGGTACCCCAGAGCCCTCGCTTGACCCCGGGAAACCAGCCGATATATTACCTGGTGAAGGAGAGGCCCACTCACATGTCCACAGGAGCCAGGGAGGCAGTATAAGAGAGTGAAGTAGCACTGGCAGCCACAGAGGACTGAAGGACCTCTAGAGGGACAGCTGCTCTTTCACTGCACTGAGAGCTACGTTCCAGGGAAAGGACCCACTATTGCCAAATATGTTAGGCGCTGCTGTTTGGCTGTTCTTGCAGTCACTTGTAATCCTTTTCTCCATCACCTGCTTCCACTGGATAGGCTGCAAAAACTAAATGCTTGCCTTCCCAGTTTCCCTAACAACTAACTAGCCATAGCCTTGTGGCACAGTTCTGGCCAATAAGACCTAAGCAAAAGCCCCCCAAGGGATTCCTGAGAAAGCTGCTCCTTCCTTGATAAGCAGGGCAGATGTGTCTGGGACCACTTCTTTCCCCTGGTGCCAGCCCTGAGCTGCAAAATGAGCCCCAGACTCTTACCAGGTGAAGTGATGAAATATCTTTATTCCTTAGGATTGTCTTAGTAGGATTTTTTTAGTACTTGTAGGCAAGCCAATAGTAAGCATAACTTATTGAAAGACAGAATCTCCTTCCTCAAAATGTATGTATCTATCTTCCAATAATTATGAGCAAACAATTCACTTTAAAAAGTGCAAACACTATGCAAGCCAAACAAAATACATCCAAGAGTATTTGCCCTTTGTGCTGTCTGTTTCAACCTCTGATTTAGGGCTGTACATCTGGGCAACTGAGGCCTAGAGAAGACTAGAAACAAACTTCCAAGTTCTGGTCTGGTTCTAGTAGGCCAAGAGAGCATCATTCAGAGCATCTGCAGCAGGGTATCTGCAGAGGGTTGTGCCTCTGTCATCACCAGCAGATTTCATGCATAATGGAGGAAGCCATGGGCTCCGGCACCGGGTGAGGCAGCAGCAGCCTCCCTCTCTCTCCAGACCCGTGGTTCCTGTCTCCTATGAGGGCCACGAGGAGCCCCTCCATGGAAAGCCCACCTTCAATGACAGTGAGCCTTGCTGTGCATGTGGCCTCTCCATACATGTTCACAGCGGTGCAGCGGTACAGATCTGCGTCCTCGCCCATCAGCTTGTTAATCTGCAGCACAGACCAACGGCAGGGAAGAAGGACATGATTGTGCATTGGTCATGTAAAGATGAACGAATAGTACCTAGTCCTTGTCCTCAAGGAGCTCCCACTCTTTATCAAGAAATACAGACCCCACCAACACTAACCCAAAAACCTGGACAGAAAAGGTGGCTGTCTTTCCTATCAGAAGAAATGTGGAAGAGCAGAAAGAGCTGGCTTTGTGGGCAAGTAGGAATGGGACTGAAAATGTCTCTGTCCTGTATTACTAGCTGTGGGACTTTTGGCAAGTTACCCCAACTCTGTGAGCCTTAGTTTATTCCCTTGTAAGATGGGCACAATAATGCTCAGAAAGTAATGACTGATTAGGAGTAAATCATGTAATCTATGTCAGATATTTAGCCCACAGCCTGGCACATGGATGTCACATGGTTGGTATATATACCACTACTAATATTAACCAAAATTGCTTGAGTGCAGATGCTCCTTGACTTGCTTCTGAGTTATGTCCCAATAAACCTGCTATGATTTTAAAATATCATAAATTTAAAATGCACTTAATATACCTGACCTACTGGACAGCACCACTCAATTTAGCCTACCTTAGATGTGTTCAGATTAGACACTGAAAGTTAAACGCTATAAGGTTATTTTTGTGTGAGAAACCCAAAGTATAAGTAATTTAAAGAGCAAAATAACAGACATTCGATAGGAAACAGGAAAGTAGAGCTTTTGCAGATGAGCAGGGGATCTAGACATGGAGGGAAAGGGGAGGAAGAATAGGGGAGGGGAAAGTAAAAAGGATTAAGGTGTGATTTGTGTATGTACCAACTCCCCACGGTGAATGTATCATTAGTATCAAAAATGCATACTAATAAAAATGTATTAATTTGAAAATATGCAATTGTGAAGAATGAAACACAAGAAAGTGCTTGGAGCACTTATATTAACTTACAGTTGGACAAAATCGTCTAATGCAAAGCCTGTTTTCTAATAAGTTGTTGGATGTGTCGTGTAACCCACCGGCCAGAATGTACTGCAGACTGGGTGTCTTCCCTTGTGATCAAATGGACCACACTGCATATCACTAGCTCAGGAAAAGACCAAAGTGCAAAATACAAAGTATATTTTTTACTCAATGCACTTCACTATTGCACCATCATAAAGTTAAAAATTGTAAGTCAAACCATCACAAGTTGAGGACAATCTGTACTTGCCATAGAGCCAAGCACTGGCTGGATAATTTATGTAAACCTTTAATCCTCATAATAACTCCTTAGTGTAGGTACTGTAACCTTGCCCTGTTTCCCTGATAAGGAAACAGGTAGAAAGAGGTCAATAACTTTCTAAAGCTAAAGGAGTCGGCCAGGACTGTAAGTGGGCAGTCTGGCTCCACAACTTCAGCTCTTTTGCTCCAGCCCAGCCACCCCCGGGGGCTATCAGGAGCCGGGCTATCAGGAGCCGGGCTATCAGGAGCTGCATCTGTGAGCCTCCAAATCCACTCCTGGCTCAAGTACTCTTGGGCCAGGGGACAGAACTGAATAGATTTAACTGCTATCTCTTACTTGTCTGGGGACTGGAGGCTGCTGGTGAGACCTACAAGAAGACAGGAAGGGATCGTATCAGGTCAGAGAAGAGCTGCAGTGCTCACCTGCAGCACATGCTCCTTGCTGCCTGGGGTCGAGGAGATCTGGTATTTGCTGGAGTTGCTGAGGTCTCCTTTGGTGCTCAGCCAGTGCACTTCAGGTCTGGGCTCCCCGCAGACCACAGCCCGGAAGATGGCATTTTTCCCTGCAGCCAGAAGAGGTGGTTGGAGAGACCAACAGGGTGTGTGTGTGTGGCGGGGTGTGCTTGACAGTATACTTTACTGAGATTTTAATTTATGCCATGCTCCCTACTCTGGAAATTTCAACTGCCTGTTCCTGGAAGGGTACCAGGCGTTGCTCCCCTGGTCTCAGGACTCATTAGGTCAAGTGGAAAGCTGCAGTTTGCAGGCACGCAGAAGCAGCACAGGCCTGGCTTCTGGAACGCAGGGTTTTGGGCTCCACATTAAAGATGGGACTGGACTGTCCATGGTGAGAAGGAGAGGCAAGTCAGATTTAGAAAAACAGAGTCCTGTGGTGAGAAAAGAGTTAAAGATCTCCTCACCCAAACTTCTTTGAGAATATAGTTCTGCCCCAGCTGCACTGGACGGTCAAGGAGCACCGCACTAGTGGGGCTCAAAAAGGCACAAGGTAAAGGCAATACAGAACACATCCTTTTCTCCCCAGAGCTAAAGTTGCATTTTTCCCTCAAAGTTTAAAACACACAGGTACTCTTATCTAAATAGGAAGAGGCTTTCTGGAGGCCTACGTGAGTGGCCTTGATAATCTGTAACTTTGGCATTCCACTGTAGTTATAATACAGGTGTTCCTGAAAGATTAACAAAGGACAGGATGCCCTGGAGCATGCATTTCTACAATACCCATATTTGCCAACTCAGATCCTTTCCCACACCTTCATTCCATTATAAAAACCCTAATCTCTCAGCCTGCCGTGCAGTTCCTCTTTTGGAAACACCTCGTGACAGTGTACTCAGTGACTAAATATACTCTTTTCTTTCCCATATTCCTGTCTGCTGGTAAATTCTTTCACCACCCATGTCACTGACCCTCTGTACACCATCTAGCATGACAAGTACCAGTATCTCACACCATAATGCTGCAAACTACAACTTATTGCAAGGCCCTGTGTTGTGTGTGTGTTGGGGGGAGGGGAGCACCGGCTCCCAGTGTAAAACGTGTTGCGAGAGAAGCCAAAGAGAGAAGTAGGCCCTTCCCCAGCAGGCCTTGGATTCCACTACTTTCCTGGCACTTTTTCCCATAGTGTTCTAGAACGGCCTTCCCGAGCCTTGTCTTGAGCCACGGGGCATGTGGCTGACTGGAGGAAAGTTTGAGGGAGAGGTTTTGACCAGGCCTCTTTGCCGCAATGGCTTTGAGGCAAGCAGGGGAAGGGAGGACTAGGAAACACTACCACCTCTCCCAGTTCAGCTTTTCCCCATCCTTGTCTAATATTTCTTACATGCCCTTTGCCCATTCTTCTCCCAGGCTCCTTGTTCCTTATAGGGATCCAGGCGGGCAGACACCCTTCATGCATACAAGGGAGATAAGACACAGCCTGGTGATGGATGTAGGGACTGATCACCCAGGCAGGTGGTGCCCAAGCTCTCTCCTTTGTGCATGCTGGAAGGTAGGACAGCAGGGAAGGAGTCTTCCCTCAGCAGTGCCCTCAGGGCTCACCCTCCTGCAGAGCCAAGGTGATCGGCTTCTGTTCAAAGTCCGGTGTGCTGCAGCCTTCAGGAATTTCCTCCACCAGCTGCCGGATGCTCACTCCAGGGATGGAGGACTTCTTCACAGGCTTCCCTGGAGAAGGCAGAAGAGAGAGAGATTGCCCCCTACCCTCTCTTGGATGCCCTTCAGCAGATTGGAGCACCTACCTACCCACTCAAACAAGGAGCAAAGTCCCTTCTCTCTCCTATTGCTGGAGCAGGGTTGTCAGCCTCCCTCCTACCTGGGAATATTACTTTTGAACTTTCCAGTGGGAATCTGATGGTGTGAATGGAACCCCCAGGAAATGGCAAGGAGCACCCTGAGAAAACCCTCAGTGTGGCACTAGGGGAAAGCTGGGAAGGAGAGTGAGAAACGGCTCCTTCCCAGGAAGCAGGAGCCCATGAGCCCTTTCTCCCTCTCCACCTGACGAGGAGAGACACAGGGCTGGGGCTGGAGGGGTGGTCAGTTCTCCTCTCACCTGCCATCGTGCTGGCTCCTCTTTGGCTCTTCAGAAGGTAGAAACTGATCTCCTGAGGAGGGAAGACAAGTTGCTCAGGAGAGGTCCAGGCAGGTCTTGTCCACCCCTCCCACACCATCAGCACACTGCCCAATATCTTGGGTGGACACATAGGAAAAGCTGCTGCCCTAGAGCTTGCCTAACCTCAAGTAGACACTATCATTTTCCCACAATTCCCTGGCTCCAACAAACTTGCTCCACAGAGACAGGGCAGAGGGTAGACTACTGCCCAATTTACCTTTCCCAGGTAAAGGAAACCACAGTGCTGAGCTTTTCTACTGGACTGGTGGCCTGACCTTCTGGTGGGACCCGGGCCTATGACCCCCAAGAGAGTGAGTCATAGCTTTTCCAAAGGTCATTCAAGGTTCTTCCAGCTGCTTAACAGGCTTGACTTCTTGACTTTGGAGTATGAATCCTCCAAGGAAATTCTTCAGCCTCCTGACTCCTCCCCAACTCTGACATTTACTGCAGAGCCTGGCAGCCTTCTACCTCCCATCCTCAAATTATCTGGTATCTTTCAGGCCTCAAGATCTGTGGAGGAGCAGAGTCCCTGACTTGGCGGTTCATGAGCTCTTCTATGCTCAGGCCAAGGGAATCACCATAAATCTATCTGCACCCCTCCGAGGCAGTGAATTATAGTGTCAGGTGAACACGGGTGTTCTTCAGCCTCGCCCAACCACCACCACCAGTGTCACCACCCCACCCCACCCCCACTTTCCTCCATCTGTTTTGGCCAATGGGGAGTTCCACACAGGAGAGGCAAAGAGTTAGCTCTGGGGCAGGGTGTGAGCCATCACTGAGTTGGGGGAAACTTGAAAGAACTCTCCAGAAACCCCACTTCCTGTGTGGTTGGCCTGTGGCCAAGTATTTCCACTTAGGAGACTCCATTTCCTGCCCAAAGAGCCCAGCTGTCAATATAGAATCACAGACAACAGAGAGAATTCCTCCCTCGAACCAATACATTTCCATTTCACAACTGCCCACCCCCTGGTACTTCTGGACCCAGTGCATCTCCTCTACAGCCTGACCACTTGCTCTCTGGCATGCGGGAATGCCATGGTGCTCCAGCTACTTTCTGGAGCGGTCACAGGCACCATGTGCCATAGCCGCTGTGCTAAAAGGAGTCATGGAAAAGGATAAGGAGAGAGGGCAGCTGCTTCTGAGGAGGACCCAATGCGCCGCTCTGGGGAGAAAGACGCCAAGGTCTCCATCCCACCCTGTCCCCGAGATAGCCATGACCCCTGCCCTGAAGTAGTTTGAGTTCAACACAGCTGCCTTAGTTACCCTCTTCATCATCATCACCACCACCACCAGCTAGTGATCAGCTGATGTCTGGGCTGCTTGTCACATGAGAAATATAATGTGAATGCCAGCCCCGCTCCTTAGCTTTCTGCCTACAGGTCCAATTGAGAAGCCAGAAAAGCAGAAAAGGGTGCTCAGGGCCTGATGGGAAGCTAGCTCACCCTCTACGCTTCTACCTTCTTCAGGAATATGCTAGATTGAGTACAAGGTCAATGGCAATGTGTAATAGGTCTATTTGGTTGGAGACTAAAAGGATATAGGCTCAATTGGAGGGGACAGAAAAGGAAATGAATTTTTTCCTGTATGATTCATCCACATATCTAAGAAGACTCCTAATTCCTTACAGCAAACACAGTAGCCTATGGTCTCCCTTCAGCCCATTCCAACACATCTCTCAGCTTGGACCCCAGACTGTGTCCCCTGGCTCTGCCCCCTGGTTACTCTCCGTGACCCATGGCTTTGTTCTCTCACTCTTGTCTCCAACTACTGCTGTTCTGGGAATTCAGTTGCTACCTTCAACTTCTCAAGTGGTAGGAAGAACAAGTGGAGTTTCTCAGAACTGCTCTGATCAAATTATTAATCAAGATACTACAAGTCCCAGTCCTGAGGTTCCTATTCTGGACTTCTAGTGAGATTTTTAATCTGGTTGTCACTCTGAACCAATTAGTACCCAGAAAATCAGAGCCAAGGAAGAATTGCCCAGACAGTATTCACCAAAATTTTCTCCTCCAAATATCCTGCAGAGTTATCTACGAGAAATATAAATGCACCCCAGTGCGTGATCAGCCAGCCAGAGAATGCTCCTGGGGTTGATCTTATGCCCCTTGCCTGCCCTTTCCGTGAAAAGTTAGAGAATAGGTCAGTGTCTCCATCTCTGTACTTCCTGGCATGGGTTAGGCAGCTGATGTGCAGGGCCCACTTACCTGGATACACCAGGGGCTTCCTGTCCATCCCCTCCTCCTTGTGTCCAGCTGCTGCACGCTGCCAGAGGCTCTGAACTGTCTGGTAGTGGCCAGGCAGTGCTGCAGCAGATGTAGGTCAACACAGGCGCCTCGGCTCCCTCCGCCCCTCCCACTCACCCTTCCTCCCTCCTCCTTCACCCAGGCTTGGCAGGGCAGGGCCCCCCAGGGCTAACACTAGCCTTGAAGGAGGTCAGAGATGGAAGGGTCTGGTGACATCTGCCTATTCAGCTCCTCACTTTGCAAAGCTTTAAACCCTCAGCCAGATCAGCTGAGCATAAGTTTGCTCTCTGATGCCTCCTTTCACTGATGGCTCTTAGCAGGGGTGATTTCATCATCCAAAGCCTTAAATTTTCAGCTACATTCATCCTTTGGGACCTTTTAAATGTAACCCACATAGATACATAAGGCCACTCTCTTTTGGAGAATCCTACCTCACAGTGGTACCACATAGCCAATGAACTTTGAGATCTAGTCACAGATCCACAGGCATGTGGGCCCAAAGACTGCCTCAGAGTGGCAGGGAAGGGGGACCCTGGGAATCATAGAGCAGGAGACCTGGAGAAGGTGAGCATGCTCTGGAGCTTTTTAAAGCACAGTATAGGAGGAATGATGTGGCCAGCTGGGCTGGGGATAGAAGTTAACAGGGCAAATGAAAGGAGTTTTGAGGATGCATGGATGGAAGGTGGAAAATGGAAGCAGGGTGGTGGCCATAGATCTTCTGAAGCAGAGCAGTGGGAGAGCGTTCCAGGAGATAAGGTGATAAGGTCATCTGGCTTCCTTGGGAAGCAATACTTCCTCTCTCCCTTAGAAAAAAGACCTAATTTGTTGATCCCAGCAAGCAAGCATTGCCCAAGGGTTCAAGTGAAAAGCTAGGCATGGCAATGTGTTCCTATGTTCCCAGCTACTTAAGAAGCTGAGACAGGAGGATCACTTGAGCCCAGGAACTCAAGGCCAGCCTGGACAACTTAGACCCTATCTCAAAATAAGGGTGAGGTAGAATAGAAGGGAAAGGTGGAAAAGGAACTAATGTTTCCTTGCATGGAAGGATACTGAGTATTTCCATAGACTCATTAGTACCACTCATTAGTACTAGATAGTCAATCTCTTCAATTACACAGGAGCTCCTTCTGGATGAGCTCTGAGAATGGAAGTTTGACTTCTTACACATTTGTGTAACATGCATTTGTGCCTGCTCTTTGTGTGTTTCAGGCCCTGGGAGCACAAACAACAGCGTGTCTCCCCCATGAAGCTTATGGTCCAGTGGGTCAGACAGATGTTAACTACCCAGTTAGAAAGTGTGCTGAAGGCTCAGAAGGAACAGAGAAGATTGAGAAGCTGGATCTTGGGGAGCTATGGGAAGAATAGCACCAGGTGAGTTTGGACAAGAAGGTTTGGAAGCCATTGAAAAGTTCTGACCTCTCTGCTAAGTGTTATTGAGGTTCCTTTGAGCTGGAGCCATGACAGGATCCAATATGTGTCCTTTAAAAGTTCAGCCTGGCTGCAGGGAGGGGAAGAGCTGGGAGGACAGTGGAGAGGTAAGAGTGTGGCCTCCAGGAGGGCAGCCTAATAACCCTAAGGTTTTTGTGCTTTTGGGGGCCCTGGCCTCCAGGAGTCCTGCTGACTCAGTCTGTTGAATGATCCAAGAAGGGCAGAGGGAGGCTGTGAACAGGGCCCAATATGGAGCCCTTCAGCATATCAGGCTCCTTCACTGTACCCCAAAGAGCTAATGGGCTCTTCCCTGAGGTCTGGGGATGACCAGCAGGCCTGTGAGTCCAGGTGCCTTTAAGACCCGCCAAATTAGGGTTGCCTCTCCTCTGCTCTGTGTCACATTTGGATCCCTGTCACTGCAAAAAGATGGAAACCTCAGGACTCCATGGAACTGAGATAGTCAAATATTTTTTACCCACTCCTTACCCTCTATCAAATGTAGTATTTAGTGATACTTGGCTGTGCCTAGATATCCTGCATCCATGTGAAGGTAAGAATTTTCAATCCTACCGAAGGTGCTGTCCCAGACACTGGGTGTGCTCTTTGTGACTGAAAGTCAGTAAGAAAGGAGTGAAAGCAGGTGCCCAGTCCAGAGCCCAGACCCTACCAAGACTTTCCTAGCCACCATGCAAGCCAAGAAACCAGGTGTTATGACTCTTCCAGTAATCTTCCCTACTGCCCAGATTTTAACTTGTCACATCTCCTGTTAGATTTTTCTACTGGGAGATAAAAAGAAGACCTTACTTTCCTTAGTTGTTGTAATATTTATGTCAAAAGAACTCTGGGCAAGGGATTTGTGTGTATCATTTACTCTTCCTCATGCCTTATAGAAAGGGCTTGGAGACTTTGGGTAAGGACAGAATTATCATCTATTAAGCGTCTCCTGCCCCCACAAGAGGCAAATGCACTATATGGCAGACAGCAAGAGGTTCTGACCCCATTAGGGTCGTTCTCTGGGGCTCTCTTGCTCCCAGTGTCATGGGATAAATGACAAAGTCTTTGAAATCTTGGCCAACATAAACATCCTGCAGTCCTGGGACTTGCTGAGTGAGTCCTATGGACTTAAAAGTAAGAATTCTGTGTGAGTCAGAAGAAAGACTACCATCGCCTCTATGTCATGATATAAAAATGGCCCTGCCCAAAGCCAACAAGGACACTCTCCATGGAACAGTATCCTCTCTTGGTCCAACTAGGATCCAGGAAGGTGGATTAGGGAAGTATGATTCTAAGCAAACACGCACATACACATGCACACACATGCACACATGTGTATGCATGGATATGCACAGGCCCCAATACAGTTGGACTCTTGTAAAAGATAGAAAACCACATACTGACCATGGAAATGACTTCAAAGATTTGGGCTCATTTCTTCCCCTAGGGACTCTATCTAACCCCAATTCTCACCAGGAAGATAGAGCTGTGAGGGCTGGTGGGGGAGACAATACTTACCCCTGTGCTTTACTCCTGTCTTCCCTGGGCCATTGGTCAGGGCTGCCTTCTGGTTTGCCTGCTCTACAGAACCATCCATGCTTCCTCCTTCCCCAGCTACCTGTCTGGCCAGCGTGCCTCCCTACATCCAGTGCAGCCCATGGTCAGTATCAGCTCATGTCTTTCTCTCGCCACCCTCAAGGTAACAAATCTTATGTGGTCTCAAAGGAATGAAGACCTTGGACAGCCCAATGGCAATTTCATACTTGCAAAGTATCTTTTAGCCACTGAGAGACTTGAGTTAGAATCTGATCCTCTAATCTGAAAAGGCCTGCCCAGGAGGCACAGCTGGCTCAAGGACTACAAAAGGGGACTGGCACTTGGGACTACCCCAGGCATAGAGGCTAGAGGAGTGAGGCTACCACAGGCTTATTTATTGGAGTAGTATGTGTTCTTCCAGAAGGCTAGAGTTGGACAGGACTGCTGTGGGCATGTAGTAACAGCATAAAATAACAGTACTTGGCCTTCATAGAGCTCTTGCTGCATTCTTCTAAGTCTTTAGATATATTAACTCATTTAACTTCTCACAATAAATCCATAAGGTACAATGGATTACCAGCCCCACTTCTCAGAAGGGGAAACTGAGGCAGATATTATGTAATTTGAGCAAAGTCACACAGCTGGTGAGTGGCAGAAACAGGGTATGGACCAAAGTAGCCCTGTGCCAAGCCTGCACTCTTAAGGACTAGTACATCTGTGGACTTAATGCAGCCCTCTCCCCTTCCAAGGTGGGCACTGAGGTGACAGTGACCTACCAGAGGGCACACAGTGGTGTGGTAAGCAGCCGTATCTGCCTCCCCAGCCAATGCAAGTCACTCCAGAATACTTCCCCCTCAAGGTTTCCATCAAAGGGAGGTGAACTGTCCTTTCCTTTATACAAGGTGCAAACCCACTCTACTTGCTAAGGTGGCATTGGTATATCTGGTCATTTCACAAGTACACTTGCCTATTCTTGTATGATCACTGTGAACTGCAGTGCTCACCATGACCTGAGCTACCGGGCAATGTTCTCATTCATCCCACATAGCACCCAACGGAGCAGAAACTTACTGTCTTCATTTTTAAGTAGAAGGATGTAGAGGCTATGTGCTATTAAATAACCTCCACTATTCCATAGTAAAGCCCTGATCAAGATGTGAGCAAAGCAGTTAGATTCTACTATATTTGTGCTTCCTGGCTCAGATATTCAGAATCTTAAAAAAAAAAATCAATCCTAGTTACCATTTTGCATACTGCATGGCTCTATTCCTTTGATTATGAACCTGATCTTCAAAAATATCTACCAGAAACTATCAAAAGATGAAAGGGACATGGCCACTTTTAATTTGGGCTGTTTCCTTCTGGTATTTTTTATAAAAGAAAAAATGATAAAACAGGGCTAAAAACTAGATAGTATATATATATATGTATATATATATATATTTTTTTGATAGTATATTTTGAATGCTTACACTTATCCACTTAACAGTTTAAATTTATAGAAACAAGATGTTTTGCAATGTAATCACGCTGTTCACAGGTTATTACCAGATTTATTTAGGGGTTATCTAGGTCCCCGCCAGTGGCCTGATAGGGGAATGGACACTGTGCAGCTAAGGGTGAAATTTCCTCCTTCATTCCGGTGGGCAGTTTTCCTGTGCCTTTTTAGGAGTTTGGCCTCCCCAGGCTCAGCATAGGCTCCACATCAGGCTCTGAGGGGGCATGGTCACCTCTCCAGGGCCCAGAGTCGGCTCCGCAGCCTCGAGTTTGCAACATCAGGCGCGCAGGAAGGAGGTGGTATGAGAACTGTGATCGTGGCCTTGTGGTAGCCACTCTGTGAGCCCCTGACAACCATGCTGCTGCTGCTGCTTCTCCTACAGTCACAGCACAGCCCCTCCAAAGAGGCTTGTGGGGCAGAGCAGAAGGGGTGGCCTAGACACACCCTAGATCACAGGCCTGAGCAATTCCAAGAACCCAAGGTAGGCAAACTGAGTGTAGAAGGAGGTAGGGATGCTGGGTACGTAGCACTGAGGCAGTTTGGAGGAACTAGGAGAATCTAAAGGATACGCTGAAGCTGACTAGGGGA